AAAGGGTAATACTGGTGACCAGGAACTTAATCCAGCTGATTCTGAGCATATGGACTCATTCTATCCCCAAATCATATAAGTTGGTCATATTTAAGGGCTAGCCAGATAACTCAGTGGACTAAAGCACCTGCTTAGGCAGGCACAGGGACCGGGGTTCAATCCCTGGTATGCCCTTCTGACCATGCCCCCCAGGTGCACTGAGACCGCAATTGAGACTGTGTGGTGGTGCGTGCCTGGAATCCCAGCACTTGGGAGGCTGAAAACAGGGGGATCACTATGAGTCCAGTCTGTGTAGTGAGACATTGTACTAAATATATTTTAAAAGTATATTTAATGGATATTGCAAAGACATGCTCAGATTTTCATAATGGTCATTATAGCACAGGATCACAAATGTTTTATGACTTGCTTTTCTGATATGAGAATTCTATTTGAGACTATCAACTGGGGAAACCAAAAGTGAAACTATAATTCCTCTAATTTATAAAATCTACTCCCTATTAATGTTGCTTAAAGTTTTTCTATCTAAATGTAAGGTGAGCCTAAATGTAATTACTGAATCTTTTCATAAAGCACATTGTAAAGAATTAATCAATTACTATAGCCAGTAATGAAATAGCTATGAAATAAATTTTCAGAACTTTAATACTTAAAGATAACTTCTGATAGGATGTGCATTATTAATTTTGGAAATGAGGATGAGAAATTACTTCTTGTAACTGAGTTGTCACCAACTGCCAAGATTTAGGAGCAGAATTCTCAAGAAAGCGTCTGTGCTGAGTCGTGCTCCAAAGAGAAACAGACGCCTTGAGGACTGCGATCTTTTTACCTCCTGGTCAGAAGGACTGGCTGTTGATAGGGCAGTCTGGCTAGGTGTTGTTCTTCTTTTTCCTTTATGACAGTCCTCAAGGCATTGCTGAAACTGTGTTCTCAGGGATCCTGAAAAGTTCCCTCTCTGACACTTGGACTTCGACACTTCTTCCAGAATGACCCCAGTGTACTTGGGTTATTGCCACGTAAGGTGCGATGGCACACCTACTTCCCTGCAGTCCTCACCCGGGCTGTCTGCACAGATCCCTGGAAGGAGGCCGTTCTGTGCTTGCTGAGGCCGCTCGAGGGCTTCTTTATGCTGGTGTCCCCTCTGAGGCTGTCTTTGTCCCATGTGTTCAAATTCAGCTCCTTCTGGGCTCAGTTTACTGTCTCCCCCAGCAATGTGACCCATACAGCAGATACTTTATATGATAGTGTAACCTTTCAAAGTCGATCTGAGCTGGCGCAGAGTCTGGTTGCATAAGGGTTACTACCTGCTCAAGAAACTGACTTAACTTGCTTTTCATTATAATTAACTCCCTTGGTTCTAGCTCAAAGTCATATCACTGAATCTTCTTTAAATCCATGGCAGTGATTTTTTCCCCTCTTGATAAATTCTAACATAATCCACAGTTCTCTGCATGGCTTAAAACATGAACTGTAGACCCCAGCCAGTGTGATGAGGTCACAACTGATATTTCTGAAATATTGCTGTATCTTTGGAATATTGCTGATTGGGAAAAATGAGTTTAGATATTTCTGCAGTGGAAAAAAGACAGTTAATATAAAAGGAAAGGGAAGAGTTTAATGTCGGAAATAAGTGGAACACGGTATAAATTGTCATTTATTTATTTGCTCTAACATGGCCAAACTCAGAAATTGGCTGTCATTTACATGTCTTCAGCTGTGGAAGTCTCAGAAAAGTATTCACTTTATCCATTTCCATACAAAAACATTTAACTTGGGGGAGGAATTTTTTTAATGAGAACTGCAAGTATGTCATGAAAATCTCTGGCATACTCTGTAAATAACCATTAAAAACTTAAACACTGGAAAGCAGACCATCTATTTATTATTGTTTTACTATTTTATAATATAAAAATACAGGTTAAAAATAACTTGTATTGTACAGGTTTTTATCTTTCAAATAACACATTGTAAAAAGTAATTTAATGCTTTTTTGGAAGACTGAATGTCTAGGATAATATAATGTATACAGAGTATCTGATATGTTAAAAATCCATTATGTATGTATGTATGTATGTATTTATTTATTTATTTATTTATTTAGAGGCAGGATCTTGTTATGTAGTTCAGGCTGGCCTGGACTACATAATCAGCCTATAATCCCAGACTGGTCTGAACTCACAGTGATTTTCCTGCCTCAGCCTCCCAAGTGCTGGGATTCCAGACATACATCACCACACCTGGCTTCTGTCCTCCTTTTAAATGTGATCTAGGACAGTGTCATTTCCCAGGTCACTGAAATCCAAAGGTCTCTGTGCACCTTTGTGAAACATCTTGGGATGCTGTCTTTATGTAAGTGACGATTCTATTTACCCTGAGCAGATGGTACTGCTAAGGGTCAAGTGATTCAATCACTTCTTCCTCCTTTCAAATTTTCTGTGATGTCTCCAAGAGATGGGAACTGAACAGGGTTCTTACCTGCCACATGATTGTCCTCACTGCTGTGACCAGATGCCCTCCCACCCCCATGGGATCTGGCCAGCAAAGCCCCAGAGCCCGCCAGTCAGCTGGCGAGCGGGGGTCTCACCTGTGTGCCTTACACTGTGTGTATCTGTCTTTCCTTCAGAACTACTGAACACAAGCGAGTTATTTTATCTCTGTGTCTTAAGGGTTCTTTTCTGTAAAATGGCTCATTGATAATATCCACCTCATAGAGTTGCTGTGAAGATGAAGTGAGTTGATATCTATGAATTTCTCATAGCAGAAATAGTAAGGGTTAAACAGTTTCAAAAGTATTGTTAGACCACTGGATGAGAGGTTCTTTCAGCTTCTTTTAAAAAGGAAAGAAAAGATTTTTTTTCCTCTGGTAGAGGGTGATTTACACTTTCTATTCCAAAGCAGGAGTCTGCTAGAGGGAGGGAGCAGAAGTATGCTTAGGTGCACCAGTGCGTGAGTAGATGCTCATAGCATCTCCTTGGGTGTTTTTAGAGGAGGTTTTTCAAGAGATGAGAGAAGTAAACCAGAAGTACATGGGAATGAAGGGCCTTGAGTGCAAGTCTTGTGCCAAGAGCTAAAAAAAATCTCCTGTATCTAACAGGAGCTAAAAAAGCATTACCGAAGGGGGTGTGTTCTAAGCTCCCTTTGTGACTTACATGTTTTTCTCAGCTTCTTGAATGGAGAACAGCATTCGCCATCCACTTTGCTGAGGGAAGCAGCCCCTGCTTTCAAGCGGCGTGTGGGAAGGGGGCTGTGCTGGCCGGCCACCAGGACACTCACAGCCTCTTCCTGCTCTTCCCAGATGTTTCCTGGGAGTGTGGGAGACAGAGGCCTCCCTGCGCCTCAGCTTGTGCAGAGCCTCCTTGTGCACTGGCCGGCGGCTGGGCCCGACGTGCCCTTCCCCGGGGCTTGGCTGCAGCTGCCCTTTGGCCTGGCTCCCTGGGCCAGAGGCCACTCAGTTGTAATTTGCTCCTGGGCTCAGAGGTACAGCCTTATCAGACTACAGTGTGTGTTTATCTTGTAATTTTCAGACAAGAAGAAGGGAGGCAAATTCCAGCCTTTTAAGAAGTTGTTTGGCAAAAGGAAAAAGAAAGATCCTTTGCTGTCCCGGGAGAAGTCAGTGGGGAAGAAGTATTCTGCTCCACAGAGTGCCAGCAATGGGACCTTCTCTTCAGATGAGGAGACCCCAGAAGACAGTCTAAGGTAATGACTTCTATCTTCTTTCCCTGTTACTGGCAACATCCTGGGTGAGGAGTAGAATCCTGGAGGAAGCAGGAGTTGTTTATTGCATTAAATAAGGCAAGAGCCGCATCATAAATGTGTCCCACAAACGCTGTTGCCGCTTGATGCCTTCTCTGTGGAGCGGCCACGTTGGGAACTTAGCACACAGTTGGACCCTGTGTTCTTGGAGTACACAGGCTCAGCATGGTCCACTGGGCTGCAGATCCAGCTGCTGGGTCCCATTACTTGGCAAAGAGAAGATGGCCAGAGAGTGGAGCACATACAAGCTGAGCACACCTTGCTCATGCACGGGCCAGTGCCCTCTGCCCCCTGGGATCCCAAGCACCTTTTGGATGTGTTCTTGTGGAGCTTTTAATTCCTTGTCTGCCTCCCTCCCTCTTTTCCCTTCCTCTCTCTCTTTTTTTTTCCCCTCTCTTTTGGTCTCTTCCCCTCCCCCATCTCCCTTCCCTCCCTCCTCCCTTCCGATATGTCAGCTGAGGAATCAGCTCCTCTGCACAAGGTTCCCCAGCTACCTGTCTCATGCATTTGCCCTCATGTGTGCTGTCTAGCATCGTGAACCTGGTGCTTTCTGTGGAAATTATTGATTTGCTTCTCTGTCTCTCTCACTCAACTGTCAGTCCCATAAGGTCAGGGGTGAGGTTTTATTCAGATTCCTATTAGCTGTTCCCAAAAGGTTTCCTGTGAATATGGGGCACTGCCTAAGTTACATATTACATACTGAAGGAGTCTGTGGTGTAAGCTGTGATAGTCTTACTGTGTTCTAAGGACAAAGACAAAAACATTCAAGAGGTGCACGTCAGGAGGTAAATTCTACCAGATGGCGCACTGTGCCCGAACAACAAAGCCCTCCTGGCAGCAGTGCACAGGGAGCCTGAGCGCTCACCAGCAACATCCGTTAGTTCTCACCTATCCTCACGCTTTGTATTTGTAATCTTTTTTTTTTTTTTTTCTTTTTTGGTACTGGGAATCGAACTCAGGACCTTGTACTTGCTAGGTAGGCACTTGTGCCGCTGAGCTATATCCCAGCCCAATGCTTTGTATTTGTCTTCCATTGTCTTTATTCTTTTGCTGAGAAAACTATCAAATTAAATTTTACTCTTAGGGGGAAAAAAGTTTCAAAGCAAAAGGTTTAACTGAAAGAAGAGCCCAGCTACACTGGGAAACGCCGCTGTTGGAATCTCAGGACTGGTGCATAGTTCAGCACTGTCCAGTACGGGTCAAGTTTGCTTTTCAGTTTCTTCGGTTATAGACTAGGCATGTGAAGTGTGACCAAGATGCAGCTGAGGTGAGCAGTGAGGTCGCATCTGGCAAGCTCACCTGTGGACGGAGTCCTGTGAAGGTACCCTGTCCTCCCATGGCAGCTTGTGGTTTTGAGGAGGCCCTAAGATCTTATGTGTGGGCCCGGAGAGGACCTGGGGATTTGGATGTTCTCTTTGCACTTAAATTCTATATTCCATTTACCTCCTGAAGTATTCCATAAGGTTATTGAGTTTTGCCAAGCCTTGGAAAAAGTCCACCTCGGCTCGAGCAACATTGTCGTCAACACTATCACCTATTCTCAGTGAAACGTATAGCATATTTATGAGCCATGTGCTACATTTTAATTAAACACTTGCTTAAATAAAATATTTGTCTCATAAATAAGGAAGAAAGAAGGATAAGCTTTGTCTATGCATTTTAAACAACTCTCTTTAGATATTTTTAATGTTTTTTTGTTTTGTTTTGGTTTGGTTTGGTTTTTTTGTACCAAGAATCAAACTCAGGACCTTGTGCCTGGCAGGCAGGCATTTATGCCCCTGAGCTATCTTCTTGGCCCTCTTTATTTTTATTTTATTTATTTATTTATTTATTTTTGTATTTTAGGGAAGGGCTACAGGGTTTTCAGGGTTTCACTACTAGATTGGGCTGATAGAATCTGACTGTTTACAGCTTCCCAACAGCTGGGGTTACAGGTGAGCGCCACCACACCCAGTCTCAATGGCCATCTCAGTGCGCTCTGGGGGCAGGGCCAGCACAGCAGGCCAAGGGATCCAAACCTCCAGCCCCTGATTCTGCTTGCAGGTACTTTGATCCACTGAGCTATTTGGCCGGCCCTTAGCCCTCTTTAAATATTTTTAAAAGTTAAAAATATAAATATAGAAAAATGTAAGTAATTTTAAAGTATGTAGTATGGATTCCTTCTTTCTCTTCTACAAATTGAAAATTGCAAAGTAATTTTGTCCACAATAGCATGGCTGAATTTCTGATTATCTCCTTTGTTAAAGGTGGAGAAAATGAAACACATTCTTTCCAGCAATTCTTACTTTCAGTTCACTGTTCAGTTAACAGACATACTTGTCACTTTATGTAGTGTAATGATTTTTTTTAAAGCTTTCAATGTATTTTCTTTTCTTTTCTCCAAAATAGAGGGCTCTCACCAAAACCCAATACTTAACATTTTGGTAAAATGATCTTGAGTGGAGGCCTAAGGAGCAGAACTCAGTCCAGTGTGACTGAGAATTCTCAGTGAGAATGACTTGAAAATAGGGAGGCTGGCGTCTGCCCCAGAGCTCAGTGCGCAGGAAGGCAGGCTTTCCTCACAAGGTGAGAATCTGAAGTTGCTGAACTTGAAAATGCTATTGATCGCCAAGAATCTGTAATTCTAGCAGCGTCTCTATGGCCCAGAATAGCCTCTTATTGATCTGCTGCTTCTGCCTGAAGTTTTCCGTTTCCTTTGGGCTTTTACAGTATCTGTTCTTTCTCCGGATTAGAAGCCATTCTGTCTCCTAGATGCTGCTCTGGAATTACACATGCCTTGGAAAAAGTGGAGCAATAAAACATGACCAGCGTTTCAACAATTTAATGTGACTTCCTTAGTTAATTAAATACAACTAATATGTTTCCCACAGTGTGTTAAATGGATGTTATGTGTAAAAGGGAGAAAGAATCGCCTTAGTAAAAAGGCTTGGGAAATTTGGGGTGGGGGGGAATTAAACAAGATTATTTGTTTTTTGTGTTTTTTTTTAAAGATTTCTTTTTTTTTAATTTTATTAATTTATTTATCTGTGTGTGTGTGTGTGTGTGTGTGTGTGTGTGTGTGGCCAGCTCAGCCCACCAGGGGGTGGGGGCTGGCTGGCATGTAGTGCTGGGGGATTGAACCGCGGTCCCTGTGCGTTGCTAAGCTTGTTCTAAGTAGGTGCTTTAGACCACTGAGCCATCTCACCAGCCCCTAAACAAGATTCTTTGTAAGTTATGGTACAGGCTTTTGTTATGTGCCAGGGCCCTATGAGCCCATCCAGAAGGGGGATGTAGGGTGGATCATTGCCTAGGTTCCTGTGACCGCAGTTCCTTTTTTCCAGACAATATCCCATTAGACACATTTAAAGCTGCTGCTAACATAACTTAAGCTGACGTGTTTCACAGCCATCGAAAGCCTTCTAGAGCGTTCAGTGATACAGACAGCTTGCTACAACGCATATGCCATAGGTTCACCACCAATGAGGTAGGTGAACTTGTATAATATTTACCTGGACTCTCTCAGGTGATTAGCCCCAATTCTGAGATGAGAAAACTAAGCCCAAGGTCATGCAGCTTTTAAATCCCTGAGCAGTAATCCAAAGTGTAAACAGTATATTCCTCACTGTCTACCACTGTGCCTGTCAAGGACACTGCCTTAAGAAGGAGCCAGTCCCATGACCCTCAGCTGCCTGCTGGTCCTGGGTCACTACTCAGATGTCTGCTTTCCTTCTGCTGCCTGAATGAAACTCTCCTATTTACTGGGACTTTCCTGCTTCCAGTTGCTCCTGAATACCCCAGATCTACGACAGCCCCTTGCATTGTGCCAACTTAACATAAGCACTGTGAGGACTGAAGGGCTCCAGGAACAAAAGCTTACTCTATGACTAGTGCAGTATGGGAAAGATTCAGGAGGAAGAGGAGGCTTTGAGCTGACTGTGAACTTGGGCAGGATTCAGAATAGCTGAGGAGCAAGAGCAGCAAAATCTGTCAGGTAAAGGCACAGAAACTTTCATGCCAAATTGGATGTGGCAAGTAGGATCAGAAGGAATTTACCAACTTATTCTTTGAAGCCAGTTTAGCCCTCCTACCAAACACCAGGCTGTTTTAGTTACTTTTCTCTTGTTGCTGAGACAATACCTGACACCCAAAATTAAGGAAGGAAGGGTAGCTTTACCATTTTTGGAGGTTTCATTGCATAATCAGCTGGCTCCAGAGCAGAGAGGCAGGGCACAAGGGCAACACTTTAAGGTGGCAGAAGACAGCAAAAGCAGTAAGAGCAAAAACTAGGGGCGAGCAATCCTCTTTTCCTCCCTTACATGGTAAGCAGGCCGCCCTCCCCCCAGGGATACCATCTCTATGCCCTCCTCTTGTGCAGGATGAGGATGTTTATAAAGTAAGGACTCTGGTCCCCTAAATCACTAAGCTAAACTTTTAGACTTCTCAAGTTGAAAACTGTATCAACTGTAACACAGGCAAAGATATGTTAAGAAAAAGAAAAAACTGGGGCTGGGGAGATGGCTCAGTAGAATAAGTGCTTCCCTGGCAAGCTCAAGGGCCTGAGTTCAATTCCCAGTTCTGCCAAAAAAAAAAAAAAGAAAAAAACTACAGGCTAATATACATGTAGATATAGACACAAAGTCTTCAACAAAAGACTAACAGACTGAATTTAGCTACATATAGAAAGGATTATATGCCATAATCAAGTGGAATTTCTTCTAGAGATGTAAGGTTGATTTAACATACAAAAATTAGTCAATGTAACACACCATATTAATAGAATAAAAAAACAAAATCAAACATTCATCTCAAAAGATGCATAGAAAGCATTTGACAAAGTCCAACGATTTAAAAAAAAAAAAAACAACAACAACAAAGCATTAGGAATAGGCAGAAAAAAAAAAAAGGAATAGGCAGGATCTACTTCAACTTGATAAAGGCTATCTAGGAAAATCCAGAGTTACTAA